GGAACCACTTCCAGTTGCTCAAGTTTTTTTTTTCAAGATTTTATTTATTTACTTGTCAGAAGACAGAGAGAGAGAGAGAGAGAGATAGCACACACAAGCAGGCAGAGTGGCAGGCAGAGGCAGAGAGAGAAGCAGGCTCCCTGCTGAGCAAGGAGCCCGATGCAGGACTCGATCCCAGGATCTTGGGATCATGACCTGAGCCAAAGGCAGAGGCTTAACCGACTGAGCCACCCAGGCATCCCAAGTTGCTCAAGTCTTTTATCCTAAAACTTGGGTTTCTTTTACTCTTCTTGTCCTCTCAAGTGACAAAATGGATATATTTGGAAATTTAACCAAAATGCTCACATCCTATTTATGTCTTCCTAGTCCATGTGCCTGCCATTCAATCATTCCATGGTTATTTTTATAGTGATACCAGAGAAAAACAACTGAAAACAACACTGTTTACTTTGGTCCAGTGCATTTCATCCACACATTTGTAATAATGAGATTACTAAAATTTACAGGATGATCTCATCAAATTTTTAGCAGCATCAGTGATAGTGCCAAAAAGCCTTCAAGTTATCTTCAATAATCAGCATTTTTGATGGCAAAATACTTGAGATTAATAAGTCACTATTATAGGATCTCGTTCCCAGCTGGCCTAGTGAATACAGCACATAGGATATGAGATGAAGATCTCATGGGAACAACTCCAGACACTTGGCCTGTGGTATAACTTCAGCCTGGGCTCAAGTTATACAATTAATGAGACCAGCTGAGCACAAGAGTGCCTGCCTCAGCTAAAAACCTCAGTGTTCCTAGGATTAGATACAGATTTCAGAAAAATCAGGTCACAGTTACAGATTTATTTTTATGTATGATGTTACATTATTATGAAATGCAAGAAGAAAATAAAAGTATAGACTCAACCATTAAACTTTTACCAAGTTGGACTACATCTTAATGCATACTTTATTCAATTAATTTCATCTTAAGTAACTCTGGACTCACTTCAAGTGCCCATTAAGTTTCATCTACGAAATAAGGCAAAAAGTTTCAATAAAACAGACCATAGTACAGAAATTACGAAGTCACTGGTAAACATTTAGCAATAGGATGTAGTTTCACAGAAATGTTTAGCAATTAATGAAGACTTAAAACCCCATTTTTTGGTCATTTTATGTAACTGAAATGTCTAAGGGTACAGACATTTCTCAATTCTGGTACATCGTGATCCAGGGGTTGAGATATTATCAACAAGGCTTGGTCTATCCCTGTCTTTCAGGTCTGCTCTGAAATCTGGCTTCAGTATTGGCTTCAATATAAGGTTCCAGCCTGAAGCCCTAGCAACTCCAGGTCCAGTTGAAGTACTACTACATCTCGGTATCCAAGAAATAAGTCCCAAAATTGGGACTCATGGACATGTAGCCCTACCAAACCCAATACTATGGTTAGCAGGACAGAATGTTCTGGTTTGTCTAAGCCTGGATCATGTTGCCCCTCTTGCTGGAGGATGGAGTCAACACCACCAGAACTAAGAACTGAAAATGAGAAGGTGGTAGTGATTTTGCAAAGAAAACCCAGGTTGGGGGCACCTGCGTGGCTCAGTGGGTTAAAGCCTCTACCTTCGTCTCAGGTCATGATCTCAGGGTCCTGGGATCGAGCCCCGCATCGGTCTCTCTGCTAAGCGGGAGCCTGCTTCCCTTCCTCTCTCTCTGCCTGCCTCTCTGCCTACTTGTGATCTCTGTCTGTAAATAAATAAATAAAATCATAAAAAAAAGAAAAAAAAAACCCAAGTTGTTATTACCAGAAGAAAGCATATGTTGGGCAGAGACACAAAACAATAGATGGCCATTATAACAAGGTTCACCTGCTCCAAGGGCAAAGGGAGCCAATAACCCCTTTTTAGACCCTGTCATCCTATTGTCATTAGCCCACTAGTGAGTTCCACCCTGACTCTGTCTTATCTCTAAATCCCTTCACAGTTCATCTTCACTAACTCATATCCTGTATCCTCACTTTCTGGGACAATTCTAATTTCAGATATCCTGTCTTAAGCCTCCCCATAAACAAAATTTATATTTAGTAGATTAGACGTTGGACTGATCTTTGCTTTGGACAATTTGGTCATGGTATGTAGAGTCCCAGGAAAGACATACAAAAGAAAATGACATGGAATTATTGCTCCGCACTCTCAGACAGGTGAGGCATGTCTGAAAAAGGGCTGGGATGCTGCCCACTGGGGTTTACTTAACAACTGGTAAGTTTGTTCTCCCACCTGCGTAAAACAAAGGAAAACCTAAACCTCTAGAAACTAGAAGCTTTGGAAGCAGCCCAATTACTTGGTTGTATGAGAGACACCTTAAGAAGTAATGGTGGCTACAAAGACCAAAAGAGCTGCTCTGCACCACCTCTACACAGATCAGCTAGGAAAGTGCATATTACCTAAATGTAAGGCTGAGTACTGGGCAGGTGCTCCACATGGAGGCAACAGTAGCAGAGGATGGCAGCATCTCTTGGGGCCTTCACCCAGTACCAGCAAGAAAAATTCTTCATGGAAACTTCCAAGTTGAGACAAAGGGATGGGAGTGCCCAGGCAATAGTTTGGCTATGACCAGCAAAACCCTGAGTGGAGAGAGGAGAGCCTAGAATGTTTTCAAGTAAAAACACTTTTGGTCATTTGCTTTCTCCAAAAGCCATTATCATAAGCTGAGGGGACTGTATGTTGAGGGAGATGCCAAGTAACTTGTACTAGAATAAGGCCCATCTTGTCAGCAGCAAGTCCAAATTCCAACTGGGAAATAGCAATCATGGGAAGAATTCCATTATAGCTCAGTAAGGGCTCTGGAATAAGTTAGAAGCACTATGAACATTTGACTGTTCAACAAGGTTACTTTAAAAAAAAGCCTCAGATGGGGTGCCTGGCTGGCTCAGTGGGTTAAAGCCTCTGTTTTCTGTTCAGGCCATGATCCCAGGGTCCTGGGATCGAGCTCCGCATGGGGCTCTCTGCTCAGCAGGGAGCCTGCTTCCCCCTCCCTCTCTGTTTGCTCCTCTGCCTACTTGTGATCTCTGTCTGTTAAATAAATAAATAAAATCTTTGAAAAAAAAAAGCCTCAGGAAAAAAAAAAAGCCTCAAAAAGTTAAGTAGAAGCTAGTGTTCAGTTTCAAACCAACAGAATGAATGGCTACAGACCCCCTTTCTAAAAATGTATGTTTCTCATTTTTCTTTTATATATCCAGATTAAATATAAAAATTCATTTTTCTTTTATATATTAAATTAATATTATGTACATCAGTCCTGATCAAAGCTAGAGGCATCCTATTGGATTATAGTCGTACAAAAGCATTTATATAGGGTTAACTAATGTAACATGTTTGAAGCATTCAATAGAAACATATTTTTAGAACAACAACTTCATGCCAGTTTCTGTGCTAGTACAGAGGACAGAACAGTGAACCAGGCAGAAATTAGCCCTGCACTATCATGTAGCTTTCTAGTGACCTACTTTGATACAGAGCTTATACAGGTCTCACTAAGCTTTCTTCTTTTTCCTCCAAGTAATCAGATTTTTCAGACTGAAACAGTAGACACATGTCTAGTCTGTGACTACCCAGTATCTTTGGAATATTCTTTTTATATTTGGGGATTTTCTCCAAGATAGAATTCCTGCCTCCTTAAGGCAGAACTTAATTTCCCAGGCTTTCTTGAATCTAAAGTATAGGCAATGACCTAGCTATTGTAAACTGGGGAGCACATGATTCTCTGATTCAGAAGACATCAATTCAAAGATGCAAGCTTCATGAAGAATCCACTTTCCAGAAGATGTTAGGGTAGAAGGATCTGGCTTTCCAGAGCACCATCGTGAAGTTTTTGGCATCCG